CATTAAAGTCCCTTTAATCGTAGTATACACGCAATATGCTCAGTTCGCCCGAAGACAAAAAAAAGGCAGGTTAGCCGACCTTGGAACCGGCAGTCTTCGACCAAACCATGAGCCCAAGACCTACATGGGACTTTCCCAAAATTAGGGGTACCTTTTTGGGGGTCCCCATAATAAGGACTAGAGTATTTTTGGAGTCTATATTAGGGTTTCCCTATTTATGGGAATTGCCACATTTCACTGCCCATCTTCGAGTAAGTCGGTGCCTTGTACTACATGCGCTTTCATAATCTCATAATCCATCTATCACTTAGGAGGACCCCCGACCCTGTAATAGTGGTATAACAGGACTATAATGAGACCCTAGTATAATCCCTATTATCCCTTATAGTCGCTATTACTCGGTGGGAGGTCCACCTAATCTATCACCTTCAATTCTTGTTTATTCCCTTTCTAAGCCCAGCGTTCTCCCCTTCAACAGCAGCAGCGCCTCTGGCACCTGAGGAAGAGTCGGTCGACATTTTTGAGATGGAGCGCACGAAGCGCATGCTCACCAGACAGGAGCGCATCAGTTGGCTCGGTAGGTAGGTGAGGGACAAATGCAGGCTTTTGGGTTTGGAGTGGTTTCGTTTTGAGCTTCAGTGGACCAGGGCACTTCTGGATGGTCTTCAAAGCGGAATCCGCACATTCGCACACGTTTCGGTCTGCTGCCTGCCCCATGGGATCATTGCTTTCATTAACAGGCGTACCAGTAGCAAAGGACTTGGAACAGACTCGCTTGCAAGTATCCAGAGGTTTCTGCTCTAGCCAGAGTTTTTGTTACATGACTTGGAGCCACATGTGCCCTTACACATTGTGCAGGAAATCTATTTGAAACCCAAGTCTCAAACCTTTGAAGCGTAGGCCCTAAACGCCAGTCCTAAGTTTAAACATGCAAGTGCCATCCGATCACCAACATGATATACGTCATCGCTGCTAGTATTATGTATATTACTGCTACGACAACTGCTGCTACTATTCTCCTCCTACCACTACTACGACCACCGCTCCCTTCAAAGCCACTGCAGCCACTTTGCTTCTTCTACAATTTCCTTCTGCAACAACACCACTGCTGCTGCTGCTGCTGTTGCTGCTAGTCTCTTTTTTTTTGACGAGGCCGAAGCGAATCGCTCATTGGTGCACAGCAACAGTCTGCATGGGAGGAAATCGCCAATGCACAAATGATTGACCCAGAGCTTTTCACCAAAGGCAAGTTCTACTGTTGCTTGGCCTCCTTGAAAATCTTGAATTAAATAGAGTATCCAAAAGGGAACTGCAGCATGAAGCATGCTACAGCCATGGTGTTGGTATTCGGCTGCTGAAAACTATTGCATGGCCTTGCTCCGGTCAAGAGTAGCAACACAGACGCAGTGCGACTGACCATCGCATGCACCTTGAACTTGCATCTCCAAAGTGGGTTTCTGAAAAGAATTTGGCACAAAGGACGTGCCACCAGCATTGATCCATGCACACAGTTCGGCTTTATTGGCCTTTTGTTTTGTACAGTTCCTATGTATGCAGCACTGTTATCTTTCATCCGGTTAGATGTCCTGTTGCACTTTCATCGCACTGGTGACCATCCCTGGCAACTCCAAGGCTCCCTCAGCGCGCTGCTGTCCATGGTGGCCCTCATAGCCGCTGACTCAGTCATAGGGTTTAGGGGCCTAGAGTTTAGGGTTTAGGGGTTTAGGATTTAGGGTTTTAGGGGCTTAGGGTTTAGTTTTTAGGGAGGTCGTGGTCGCTTTGGGGTTTGGGTTTTGCGGGGGTTCGGGTTGGGGCTAGGGGCACTTATGTGACAAACTTGTCTGAATGAAGCACCAAGTTCTTGATAATTTGGATTGTCGCAGACATGACCAGGGCCTGCAATAGGCAGCTCAACCACATGAAGGAGCTCTTCTTTGTTTGCACATGATAATGCTGTTAATAATTGGTAGTACTAATAGTAATAGTAATGGTAATGGTAATAATAATGGCAATACTGGTAGTAATACAGGTATTTGCTAATGTTCACCTCGAATCTATTTTCCCGAGGCTTGTTCTCATTGTTTGGACTCTAAACTCTGCAAAGGCCTTTGGTCCTCCAAGTTGAAACAGCTGAAAGGCAGTCCTTCAGAAAAGAGATTTCCTTCAAGAGATTGCTCATACGTTTGTAAGCCCAAGTTATACCTTTGTAAGCCCAAGTTTCCATAAACTGGTCCCGCGCTGTTTGTTGAGAGCTGCAGATCAGGATGCCATGATGTCTGAACACCTTGCCAAGACGTCCGACCACGGAATGCTGCACCCTGATGAGGAGATGGGTCTGGAAACAGACTACCGCTGTAACACGGGACGTTGCCCGGGACTTGTCTTCATGATGCTGAGCGTGGGGGTTTCAGGGTTTTAGAAGCTGATTTTTGGGGTTTAGGTCAAAGGAGGGCTCCCAAACAAACGCGGTCCATTCTTGGGGCCTGCAACCCATAGTTCTTTGGGGGATATTGGCAAGCACGTGTTCTCAGAACACAAAGATGTATCACAACCGAGGAGGTACGACAGCATGTGATGAACCGAGATGAGCAGCCAGAATTTATTTCAGCGCGCCTAAGCAAGTTTCACTGATAGAAGCGATCCATGCACATTTCTTGTATGCCTTACATAGACCTTCACATAGACCCTTACATAGAGCCTTCTCCATTATCCCTATAGAACCCCCATATAACCCAAATGATTATATTCAGGCTTGTAGGTGGGGATATTGCGATTGGTTTGCGGAAGCTGAGGTGCGGACGACGAGCCTCTGTGGGATGCCTTGCACCTCGCTTGAACATATGAGCTATAGTCCACACTCCTTAAAGGGGGTTATATAGGGAATTATATAGGGGACAACTATAGGGGATATTAAGGGGGATACTGGGAGTTTAGATTATAGCTCATATTATGGGGATTCTCAAAGCAATGCGTCCCGTGTTGGCGGCTCTGGGTTTCAGAAGTAGTTTTAGAATTTTTGTCGACTAACGCGTCCTGTTGCTGTAGAATCTCATGATGGGGATTCTTGATATTGGGGTCTCTAGGAGGTCCCATTTCTGCGAAATAGGCGCAGATTCTGATTGAATAGTGATGGGCCGCCAGATCTTCGACTAGCGGGCTTCTTATTCTTGTTGTGACATGTAGAGCTTTACTTGCTCGCATTTTCTTTGTACCTCGAAGATCCCCAACCTAGAAGAAGGTGAATTCATCTTGTCTCGATGCACGAGTACAAACCGCAGTTTTACAGCCCTATTAGGCCTTATTGAGTGAGTATAGTCCTTACCGGCTCTTTCAACCCTGCGCAGGCTACCTTTGGCAGGGATGGTATGAAAATCCCTTACAAGAAGTGTGCGTCCTTTTTGATGTAGACGGAGCAGGGCAGCAACTCAACCATAACCATCATTGTGGTAACTGCCGCCGCCATTCTTTATTATGTTTGTTGTTCTGTCCTGATGTGGTTTGTCTAATGAGGACATGCTGTATAATTAGCAGCAGGTTAGAGAATCAGGATGCCCGGAATGCTGCTGCAACTGTTCCAAGCATTGCTGGTATTGCTATCAGAAGCTCTGAATTCTATACTCTAAGTTTATGGTTTTGAACCCTAAACCTTGAACCTAAGTCCTATACAACCTAGACAGTCATTCTTAAGCCAGGAATCTCCTTTTCACTATCCTGCCTTTGGCGGAGAATGGCCTTCGCCTTTGGGAGGCCAAACCGAGAAGGCGCAAACCCGGGAGAGATTCTCATCCTTCTGGGTATAAAAACCCCAAACGCCATACCTTAAACCCAGTAAGGTGTCAGGGTTGGGATCAGATCCCTCAGTAGGACGCAGGGTCAAGAGGTTTAGTGTTTGGGGTTTCGGGTCTACGGGTCATAGTTGCGGGGTGGCGATTCAGTGCCCAGGTGTTGAAGGCTTGAAGGTTTAGGTTCTAATGACAGGACTTTCCTTTCAACAAGACCAAAGCTGGAAGACATAATGATCCTGCTGTCATCATGTTACCCGAAACCCTAAAGCTGTTATTGGAGTTATGACATGGTTCACAGATCCTATGACTCCTACTCTCGATGTAACGTAGGTGCTGCAGTTAGCATTGGCCTTTGCTAGGTTAAGTCTACACTCATCAACGACCCTTTGTCTGTTGTCGATGTTTGTCTTGCTTTAGTTTGCCTTCTTCCCATCATTCTTCGGTTCGTTTCGCAATCATTTTCAGCACTAAGGGTGGGGCTCGTTGCGATCAACCCCAAACCCAAACCCAAATTGCAGGTTCTTCATGGGCGACAGGACCAAGGCACAGGAAGAGAGCTTCCCCGGCTTCCCCCCAAGGGGTTTGGGATGTGAACGCAACCTACCAACCTTGTGGAGTTTTCTCAGGTTGTGCGTAAGTTTTCCACGTAGCTTTGTTTACCCGGCAAAACTGGCCCAAGGAAGCCTCTGCGAAGTTCCACTTGCAAATTCGTGGAGCATAGATTCAGGGTAAGGGGTTGCGTTGATGGGGCAGGCTGGGTCGGTTGGTAGCAGGGCAGTAGGACTTGTTGTTCTTGATTCTGGTAGTCAGCTATTTTAGAAAGCTGCCCTTATTGTGATCCTCGCGGGCGAAGTACCGGTTTTGTGACTTGACTTCCACGCTGCCGTGAACTCTAAGCCTTCGGCAAAGCTGAAAAGCCCGAAACCCCAACCGACAGCAAGTTGTAGACCCTACTGGCAACATCACCCGTCCTGACAGGTCAAGTTTAAGCTGGACTGGGCCAACTGCGCCGACATCTTTTTAGTGATGCTCAGGACCTGGTAGCTTGACAGCGACGTGAAGAAGAATGGTAACAGTAATGAGCAAGTTCGGCATTTTCAAGTTTAACCCCTAAAAAAGGGCCTCTAGCATAGAACTTTGTTGAAGCCTGGGCAGGATTCTGGACGTTTGGATTCTGAGTCCACTCGGTGTCCGATCAGGCCTTTTCTGCGGGCATATGACAGTGAATTCTTCGCGAACTCTGACTGTACTTGCATCACTGTCATTTCGACAACTAGTTGCGCGACCGCTGCCACCGCCTCCGTTATCATGATTGCTGCAATTGTCATTGCTATGACTCACTGGTCTTCTGCCGGCTCTCATGGGTTGTTACATTCCTGATTGCTACTAACTTTCTCTGATCAACGCGCTTTGGTCCAAAACCCCAGTAGACCTTGGTGCCTTGGAGGTCTGCGAATGGCCACGGGTTTCCGAATCCTGCGCATCGGCCCGGCTGTGAAGCAGGGGCCACAGCTCACAAGAACACCGAAGGACATGACTAATGATTAAGTCTCCGAATCTGTCATAGCCCTACCGAAGGCAGCGTCAGGAATAAGAGTAGCGATTGTAGTACTGACTAGGAGTCAAGTAAGTCAAAGCAACCAGTGGCCTGTAGCAGTAACATGTACTGTATGGAGAGCTTCACGCCAACAAATCTTTTGCGCCCAAGCTGTTCAGCACACGCCAACACTAATTCTGTTTCTGTTCCTTTTTCCCGTGTCCGCAAGTATCAGCACCACAGCAGCTGCCGCTATTTGCCACTCCACTTGGCTTTTCACCTTAACCCTTTAGGCGGAATACCACTTCCCTCCCCCCAAACGGCAAACTATCCTAATCCCTGCAAGTTTTTGGTGACATGCCCAAGCGTCAGACTTCATCAGGCATTGGCAGACGACTAAAGAGCTGCGAGAGCTTTGGATCGTCATCGGGGCAGTGTCTGAGACGACCTTCTGCTGAAGTTGGCAACGAGCTTTCAGATAAATGAGGGTTTAGGGTTTAGGATTTAGGGTTCAGGGTTTAGGGTTGAGGGTCTAGGGTTTAGGGTTATTCAGTGTTTACTTGGGTTGGGCTTAGAACGAAGAATCAAATGTAGAGAACAGGGGAAATGCAATGGACACTGGGGTTGCGTAGGGGTTTGGAAGAGTGTGTGTAAGAGTTAGGCTTCATGGCATCGCTGACTTAGCTGTAGCTATGTGTCAAGGTTTGGGTAAAGATAATTTTAGGAGTTGGGGAAGAAGGGGTTTTAGGATTTGGGTTCAGAGAGTGCAGGGTTTGGGTTTGAGGTTCCAGGGTTTGGATGTTGAGCTCTTATAGGGGTTAAGGTGTTAGGTCTTAGGGCATAGGCTCTGGGATCCCAGGCGCTAGGGCTCATGGTATTCCTAAGTCCCTTTTGCCGAGTAGGGAACGGGGAAGGAAATCTAGGAACTATGTAGGGCCTGCACTATGGGTCCATCCCTTATGCTGGGCATTAGCTATCGCTACTGCGGATACTGCACTAGATGTTGGCCTAAAGCTCACTTCGGGAACCTGAAGCGGACCACTTTTGACCTTTAGGCAGGGTTTGCACTCAAGGTTCAAGACGCTGATTTGGGTCGGCGTCATGCTGATCTTCGTGTCCTGGCTGTGCGGTTGAGGGTTTAGGTTCAAATCTGAAGCCTGTTGCGAAAGGTTTGGTTTTGGGCGGGATGACTGCAATCGGAAGCCGGCATCACCATTGCAGTTGCCCGCGGACTCATGGTGTGAAGATCACATCCTCGAGTCCTTCTATGTAGCCATGGTTCCTTGTAGGGTCCCTGATTTTCCACCCAAATTGCGTGACTCTTAAGCGATTCGAGCCTACCCACTGTAGAAGAGATCATGTTCAACCGCCCTAATGCTATTCTACATATTACCTACAAGTCCTAGCATACTTCCATAAGGCACCAACAAAGCAACATACCGGCCTCGGTTTGTGGCAGGTCATATGGACCTTTGGCATCTTGATCACGATGTCCCTTCTAGAGCGCAAGGGGGAGGACCCACTGTTGAGAGGTGTTGCCATGGATTATCAAGGTATTGGTGTACCTAACATGGTATCCAGAATGGGAGGCCCCAATATCATGGGGGCTACAGGCTTCAGGGGGTGATACTGGGGCAGGTTTGTGCTTCCGACCTTCACAACCATGGTTTTCCCCTAGCTGCAATCCCCTAAGCCCCTAGCTGTCCTTTGCCCTAAGCCTGAAACCTTTTATCTTCAAAGCGCACAGGAGTTCAACTTTACAGCCTCGACCTGGACCTTCGCAGACTACTGGGGTAGCGTGCCGCGAAGCGCGTACTCCCTCTTCCAGGCGATGGAGGGTTCTCATGATGGAACTGAGAAAGCCGTCGCGCACGGAAGCAATGCCAGACTTTTTTTGTAGAGCGGGAGATGTAGTGGGCTCAGGGTAGGGTTCCACGGCTGTTCACAAGGCTCTAAACGAAGCCTTGAGACCTTCAAACTCAACGCAAACTCTGAAACGTTAGGCCCTGGAGCCCATGTAATTTTCAGCCTTTTCCAGGTGGCCACAAGAGACAGTTGGATCAGTGCCATGGTGGCCCCATTAATCGAGACGGAGCCGCTGTTACCCTACCAGAATTCATGTGGGGGTTTCCACAAATCCTGGGTCCTGTTTTTGGGAGTGTTGGATATAGTTGGTCTGGTCTGGTAATTATCGTCCTAATGGTAGATCCTGGGCTCTTTTTTGGGGAGTTTGAGCATGGTAGGACTCATATGGTTTCTGGGACCCCACTTTCTGGAAGTTGCGATGTCGTGAAGCAGGGGTTGGGTTTGTGGTTTAGGGTTTAAGGAACTTTTAGGTTCAGGGTATTGCTTCAGGGGTCTGGGGAAATTCTCAGCTTCGTGCGAACCAGAATTGCAATGGTCGCAGTCGCAACATGTGATAATTGTGCTGCCACCGTCTATTCTTGCCTGCATGATCAAAAGCTATATGTGTAAGTGGAGCAACTGCACAAATGTCTTGCACGAAGATGCTTTCGCACAGATCCTCCCAGCCTACACCATGGAAGTTTATTGTACAACATCCACCCCCATTGGTATGTGGGGAATATTCACAGTCTTCTATGTTGTGTACCATTCATACTAGACTCCCAGCGCCGAGGCTGCTCATCATTTTTGGCTTCTACTTCTGTATCGGCTCCCTTGCCCTCATGAACGCCATCATCGGCGTGGTTGTCGAGTACCTCGGCCAAAAGCAGGATGCAGGCTGTGCAGAAGCGGGAGTGCTGCACATCAGGTAGGGGACTTATATAGTCCCTCTTAAGCGGATCTTCTTCTGATATACCCAGAGCCATATTCTAGCACTATCTATAACCCTACTCCTATTTAACTCTGAGCCCTTTAAGGTTCCCGAGATGTCTGCAATGCTTTTTCGCTGACCAGGTGCACTCTCTCGGCAGCGAGGGCTAGCACCGAGAAGGAAGAGGAGGACAAAAAGAGGCGCAGAGGATTTGTAGTGTCTGAGTTTGTAACATTGCAACAGGCACGTAGATCCATCTATTTCAATTCACTTGATCCCATTCCTCCAAGCCTGAACCCTAAGTCTTCGAGTCAACGCCCCAAACTCTAAGCCCAAAGAACGGACCCAAACTCCTAAGCCCTGTAGTCCCCCAGGGCCGATGCACTGGTCATGGACTCGCTGAGACGGATTTTTCACGAGGGAGACACTGACGGCTCCGGAGAGCTGGACATGGAGGTTTTGGGGGGGAGAGGAGGGCAGAGGAGGGTAATGTAGACCCCTAATTAATACACCCTTTCCAATTAATGGGGATTATAATAGGGATGCTACTATTCAGGCCCTGAAAAGGAGGGGGTTCATTAATCATGGGTCTACATCAGAGGAGGGTTCAGGGACGAGGCCACTTCAGGGGTTTCAGGAGCTTGGGTGGCGAATAAGGGCTTCTTGACTTGGGACATTAGGTTTGGCGAGTTTGGGGTTGAGGGCTGTAGAGTCGCCATGGAGGCGTCTACGGGGTATGCAATACTTTTGCGTTGGCATTTCACAGGGTTCTGCACAGAAACTACAAATATTGTAGAGGCATTCTACAGAGAATATGCGGGGAACTAACCTCTCTGCAGAGCGCTGTTCCAATTTTCCTGCCAAAGCTAGATGTTTCATTGTTGCGTCACATCCAAGTTATGGGCATGGTTCTCAAAGCGTACACCATCTGCCTTAGTGGTGAGTAAGGAGAAAGGGGGGAGTGAATTTAGGTAATTTAGTAGGGGTTCAAATATGAGCTATACAGCTATAGTCTAAACTCCTTAAAGGGCTTTTTCTAGGAAATTATATAGACGACTACAGGGGTTACAGTATTAGGGGGGATACTAGGAGTTTAGACTATACATCCCCTAAGCCTCCCTGAAGCACCCTCTAATCCCTAAACCCTAAAGTCAGCATGCCAGGAACTGCATACCTTGGTCCGCAAGCACAAGGCCTTGCAGAACGGACTGCTGTTATGGGGCTTTAGGCTTTGGGCTGTAGGGTTTAGGGGGTTTGGGGTTGGATTTAGGGTTTAGGGTTCAGGGGTTCACATGAGCTTCTGTCAAAATTAGCTTTAGTAATTATTAAGGGACCCCGAACAGTTGACACAGGGCGTCTCTTGTAGTTTAGTTTAGTATAGTCGCGAATATAGTCCCTAATAAGGAACCCGCGTCCATTAAATTACGTAGGAAATCTTGACTGTATCTCAAATAGGGTATTGATGGGTTAGGGGCCTTAGGCGGTTCAGGGTTTAGCAGGTCAAGGGGTTGGGGCTGTAGGGTTATCATGAGACATACTGTGACATACTTTTCTGATGTAGCTGAGCACGCTCATCAAAAGCCTGTAGAGTACTGCCATTGCACGTGCTATTTGCATCATAACCCCTGAGTATCTCTATTCAATCGTGCAGTGACCTAGAATGGACTTATAGTCCCCTTAAGTAGGGAGAATATGAGTTTCGGTATATTAATAAGATCCCCATATACCCCAAATTCTATCTACCTAAGGGGGACTAGAATTCATTCCCTGCTTTGGCTGGCAGCTGATCCTGCGAAGGTGCGAGATCGGCTCAAGATGCTGAGAATCCCTTTCAGCGTCCTGGGCCCAGGCAACATAAAAGAAAGGCACTGCCCACAGTGATGGATTACTGGCAACTATTATACCATACTCGAAGTCGTGGCAACAGCTACCATGAAGGGTTTGTGCGCCAGCAGGCCTTTCCCAACCTCAGGCAACCGGGGACCCTAAGCTTAAAACACAATTCGCGGATAAGGACCTGGACCTCTTATTCACTTTGCTGGACACGGACTGCTCGGGCACCGCCAGGGCCTCCGACGCATACCCTGACCAGCCTGCATGCTTGCCTTGACCATGTTTTTTGTTTGAGTGAGCCCCAAACTGGTCTTTTCCAGAAATTAGTTTCCAATTCCTCAAATCCTACAACATCCTAGTTCTGCCCTGTCTTGGGAGAGTCGAGGAGTTGTCTCGTGCGAGCTGCATGAAGTTGCGTCCCGGTAGTCGCGTGCTGAGGTGAACACAGACATGTTCTTCCGTGGCTGCGCCAAGTTGAGGACGGGTTTGGGGCCTAGGGTGTGTTTCAATTCAAGGTAGCAGTTGCCCGGGCAAGTCTTTAAAGCGATAGCACTGTAAATGTCAGCGCCTTCAGGAAGCTAAAGCGACCCAAGTCGCGGAACGTTGAAGCCATTCAGTATGACAACAAGGAAAGCCCTCAAACAATTCCAGGACTTCTGAACCCTCCCTCTTTGCGCAGCTAAACTTGCAAGATACTTCTTCTGCCACGCGATGTTTCTGAACATTTCCTTGTTTGCATCATTATGTGTCGTACCGCGCGGGCTTCCATGTTTCCATGCAGCACGTATAGTCAGCAAGGTTATCTTTGTCACGTTCATTGAGGTGAATCTTAAACCCCAAATCTTGGATGCTGCCGCGTCCTAGAACGCTCCACACCTATAACAATTTCCAGTGCTATTCTTCGACCCCTATTTGGATCCTATAGTTGCGTGTTATAGAGAGCTGAACTGGTAATTACAGTCCTTGGCAAGCTGCTGCCAGGGGTCCAGCCATGGCATGCGATCTCCACCAGCTATCCATCGACCTGAAGCACAATTTAGACGCTTGGACTCCACGGGCACTGGATACACTGGCCTTACCGTATAGGGTTATATAGGGATACTGGAAAACTACTATTTAGGGTGTAGGGCTTACTTCTGGTTAGCCGTGAATGAAGGAATGGAAAAGAAAATGGAAACTAGTATCATGGGCTATAGGGACCACTCTCAGGATCCATTCCGTCATTCCTAGCTAACCAAAGGTAAGACAAGAGATCGGAGCTTCCGAAACATCCAGGGTCCTTTTTGGGAGCTCCCATTGTCAAGGATTGTATCTTGGGGCCTGTATTGGTGTGCCACCCAATCTTATGAACATTTCAGATCTCATGGGATTTCAAGGTTTTTTTCGTCATCGTTGTAGTTTGCCTTCGTGTGTTGCTTGCATGCCGCTCGCGCCACTCACTCGGCCTTTCCTTAACTCCCGCAGACCCGATGCTTTTGCATCTCCAAGGAATTCGGACCCTGGAACATATGTAGACTCCGCAACCTATGTGAATCCTTGCAAATGCCGACAGCCCCACGATGCCCTATGTTTATCGCCACAGGACATTGCAAGCCCCAACGACCATACGTATGTTCACAAACTGCTACAACCCTGTGTAAGCCCGCAGAGCCCAACAGCCGGCACAGCTTTGCAGCTTTCGAGGAGCGATGTGACCACAATTCTGAGCGCATTCGTCAAGTCAACGAGACGCTGGCGATTGTTTTGGACCACGTGGACGATGCCAGCTGCCCAAAAGGATGACTTAGCAGGGTTTGATATGTGATGTGAGGTTCAGGGTTTGGGTTTATTTATTTATTATTCATTTTTTTCGGTTTAGGGTTTAGGGACATGTGATGAGAGTATTTTGGCCTTGGGCTGTGGCATCAAGATCGAAGCCTCCTTGCGCAGCCTTGCTGGCACATACGTTGCAGACAGAAGTACTTGACCGCTGTTCTGTAAAAGCAGGCTTGCTCAGATGCAAGTTATTCCAAAGTGAGTGGGACTTCAGAGCCCTGGGCCTGAGCCCTCTGTGGATTCACGAAACCTGACCCTCTTCAGACATGCTCAGATGGACATCAGCATCATGAAGAGCGATGTCGACTTCAAGGACCCCGAAGCTTCGTCTGCAATCAAGGGGGACTGCTTCCAGTTTCCGGGGCAGGTGGGTTTCAGGGCTCTGGTGTTCAGTGGGATACAAGAGCCTGGTCATGGCATTCGTATACATGCCTGCCGCCCCCACGAAAAGAAGAAAGGACAATTGCAAACAAACTCACGAAACCACCCCGCCTACTTGGTCTACCACCTGCAAAATCCTCCTGCAGAGCTCAGGTCCTGGCCGCCCGACAGGTGAGGCCAAAGACCTCGAAGTCCGACGTCATCCGCGGCAGGCCGGGGCAATTTTTTGGGTTTGCTGTGCGGGTTTAAGGGTATGGACCAAGTGTCTTGAGAAATGTCACAGTGGAGTGTTTTGTTCTTGATTGTACTTCCATCGCTCTTACTCCCTTGTGCTAGCAAGTTGCTGTTGCTCTCACTATTGCACTTATTATTCACTATTTGTATTGGGTAGCCTAGAACAAATGGTGCATTTTTTGGCTGTAGTGGCCGCAGCGGCAGCAGCGGCAGCAACACAAACGAGTAGAAGCAATAGCAGTTCTCAAAATGATTCTTGTCACAGCTGCTGGTGCTGCCGCCACCATGAGCGCTGTCATCTGATTGCCGTTGATTGCCAATCATTTCCTTTGTCTGTGGCTCCCTATGCCCAACACTAATGACGAACCATCCCGAACCCCATTTGTGGTTTCCCAAAACTATGGGTGCCTTTTTGGGGTCCGTACAAGAATTGTGTGTTGGGGTCTTCTTGCAATTGTTGCATCTATTGAGGTCCCCTATTTGGGGAAGCTATCATGTCTGAAGCCCAACCGTGCTCATGCCCAGGTGGCTCATACCCGTGGCCCACAATGAGCAGAGTATGTGGCTAGACTTGGACCGCCAAGCCAAGGGCAACGACCCCCACAACAAGGTGGGGAAGAGTTATGTGAGCTAGAGTTTCTCGGAAATCTCTACTGTTTGGCGCCTATGCTCCTCATGACATACCTACATAATCTCCATTTGATCTTCATGTGATCCCTACATTGTGCAGAACCCCCTTGCACCCACTAAACCCTACCTATTCTTGAACTCCTAAACCCCAAAACTCTCTTTCCTGACAGCTTCATATCCCGGACATATCCTTAAACCTACCAGGGCGAGCTCGGGAAGCATGCGCTGACCCAGGCGCAAGAGGTCAAGGTCGGAGGGCTGCAATGACGAAAGATCGTGCGGCGTTTGGGTTAAGGAGTTTAGGCTTCAGGGTAAAGGGTAAGGGTTTAGGATATAGGGTAAAGCGTTCAAAGTTCAAAGTCTAGGGTATAGTGCTCCGCAGTCTTCTAGGCTAAGCAGTGCTTGCAAACCTTCATGTTGCCATAGAGTGAATGCATCTATTGCTACAACTGCCTTTGTCTCTGTTGATGGTGTTTGTCGGAGCATCTCTACTGTTGCTGTTCTTGTTCTCTTTGCTTGGCCGTAGTGGTACTTTGCAAGCCTGGATGAGTAATACCAGTTTTCTTTATCGTCATGGTGATCCGCATTTAAATTTCGGTGCTTTTCGCATTGTGTGTTTTCCACCTGAAGGTCCAGAGCCTTCGGGACAGCAGAGACGCTTGGCGGCATGCTGGCTGTGCTGCAACGCATGCTGCCCATACTGGTTCCCCTAATACTGCAGCATATGTGATGGAGCGTGTTCAGCTTCATGCTCCCAATTGATGCAAATAGACACATAGACAAACACACAATCTCTGCATCATGATGGCATGTATACATATACACATGCATGCTTCTGTAGTGTTGACAAGGAGTGTGCAAATCCTCCTGGAAAAAGCTTTAGTGGCACTCGCCGCCAGAAAACTTCAAGCCTTATAAGCTCGAGACCATCCTGGGCAACAAGACTAGTGTCAACACTAATTAATCAGCCATGGTGATAACCCTCCGTAAGCCTGAACCCGAGCCCTATGCATGAGATGGATGCAGCTGGCTGCGATGCAGGACCAGCCGCCTCCACCCCCGATCCCTGCGCGTGTACAGCCTCTTCAGGATGTGAAGTTGACGCAGGACAACTTGAGGGTGGTTGGATCCAGTGGGTAACAGCTGGAGGGTTCAAAGGTGGCTCTCTGCATCCACTATGAATTCCTGATGGAAGCTTGCCTTTTGCTTTGTGCCTGTGTACATGTCTATGAAGATCACGAAGCTTTTCTTTCTCAGACTGCTGAAGGGGAGGTTGGTCTCCTTGCCAAGCTGAAGGGGACCTTTGCAAGCTTCATAGCTCTCGGGTCAGACAGTATACCTTGAGGACATAGGGAAGTGGGAACCTTGTTGCCAGGTTGAAGAGGACCGTGCCCGGCTCAACAACCAGATTGCAAAGGCCAGAACTGCAGCAGTCCGTATGAAATCCTGCAAGCTTCCGGCTGTCCTGACATTTTCATGTTTTTTTTTTACAGCTGCGGCGCAAGTGTTACCCGCTGCGAGGCTTTACGCAAGCTTCATCGCTTCGAGTGAGACTGGCGTAGTCCGCTGCGATGAACTGACTGTGGCTCCTAGAAGCTTCAACTGCACCGGACTCCCTTCCTCATCGCTAATGAATTCATGAAAGAAGTTTTGCATAGTGCTTCTCTAACTCTAGCCAGAAAGCGTCGGACATTCTGCAAGCAACCTAGCAAGATCCGAGTTTCACTCTGCACGTGTGCGCAAGATAGCATGCATTTCGGCATAGGACCTGTCCTACCCTGCCTGAAGGCAGTGTAGTTTCGGGACGTGCTCTGAAACAAAGCCTGCGAGCACTTACTAGAGTCGCCTATGCGGCACATTCTGACCGAGTATTATAGGGCAATGGGGATTAGCTGGAGCGTTGCGGGATGCATACCCAGCGTGTACCGTGAGTGAGCTCGACTCAATCTTATAAGCTCTATATGTGCACCCCTGCTTTGGAGAGAGGAAATCTACAGCCCAAATCGCACCAGACAAGTGTGCAACCAATCTAGACCTGCATCCTTCATGCCTATAAACTCAAAGCGCTCAAACCTTTAACCCTAAACCCTAACTGAACCATTAAGCTCTGAACCCTAAACCCCAAGCTCAACCCTAATCCCCAAACCTAGACCTGGAACCCTGCTATTTTGAGGTCATGGTGTCCTGTCAGCACAAGGGCTGTCCTCTTACGTTCTCCACGAAGCCGGCAGGGGCCCTGTGGGATATCGACAGGCAGAACGGTAGCCGACACCAGCGTTGGAAGTGAGCCATGTGTGCTATCGCCTGTCATGCAGCGCTTGAGCCGCAACATATTTCTTCCATTCAATCTCCTGCGCTTCAATATTTGGTTAGTGTGAAGCTGCCAAATGCATCACCGCAGTGTTCACAGCAGTCCAGCATTTGACCACAAGGACTTTGAAAAGGGTTCCGACATCACCACCGACTGATATCATTCATCCGGGATATCAGCGAATGGTGGAAGTTACGGAGAGCACGTCTGTTAGCGGCCCTGTCCTTGCGCGTTCTGCGCATCACCTCCTGGGAGGTATCCCAGAATTCGTTCCAGCCATCCAGATAGGCTGTCCAGTCGTAGCTGTATTCCAGTCCCAATCCCCAATCTCCCCCAAACTCCAGCTCGTCGAGCCACGGGTCCCCACAGCCCTGATCCTCCAGTTGTTCCGCAGATTTCTGCGGGCCCAGCTTCCGCACTTCACGGCGTTCCTTGGCGCCAGCGGGGCCCCGAAGTCGTCCGTGTGAAAACCACAGCGGAATTTTTGTTTCAGCCCTTCGGTCCTGAACGGGCCCAAACATGCTCAACGCGCAATCTTTACTGTATTACGTGCAGATCAAGAACCGCAAGGCGTCTCCAGCTGAAGAAGTTTCTTGAATGCATCTGCGCGGGAAGCTTGTCGGCATGTCCCCCGAACTGGGGCAAATTCCCGTACCTCAAGCACGCAATTAACAGAACTGCCCTTCACACTCCACCCTCGCAGCCAAAGCACGGGAAGGAAAGAGGATAGCTCTTTCATCAACCTCAGGCAGAAGCCACACCGAATGCAAATGTAATCACGCTCTTACAGTTGGTTTGCCTATGCAAGAAGAACTTCCTTTCTCCAACGCCGCCGTGACACAACGGGCAAAAGTTTTGCCATCTGGCAACCTGTCACCGTTCGAGCTAAAGTGCATGTTTCCTTGACAATCACATGCATGAAGCCAAAACATGAGAAACATGCCCAAGAATCCCTCACGCTGCCAGTGCCAACCTTTTGTACCGCCCTACTTCACTCCAAGGCCTTGAGGGAAGCGACGGGCAAATCATCAGGGTGTGGACTGCTGCTGATCACCTGGGCTCCAGGCTACGTGTAATGTTTGGGTCTGGGCGCCCAGGACACAGAGCTGATAAGTTCAGCTGCTGACAATCTCATCGTTCCCCGGCACGTAGCCTGTCAACTCTTCCCGTGACATCATGGTAGCCAGCAACCGTGCGCAAGCAAAGCATGACTGACGCCTTGCGGGCTGCTGACATTGCACAGCCCTCGGATGTCAAGGAATGGAAACAGCGCGACGCAGGCATACCTTTGCAAGCTTGAGTGCAAGTGAAGGACATGCTCCATCCAACCATTGCCGCCAGCAGCACGACATTGCGCAGCGAGCAGCGCGGCCACTTCCCAGTACAAAACCTATCCCTTTGTGAGTGTCGGTCATTCCAGTGTGGAATGAGGGAATAGAATAACCGATTGTTGGATACCCCAACCAAGTCAGTTGAATTACCCCCTAAATGCCCTAGCACCCTTGAGGATGTTGTGGGGTTGATCGTGGATTTCAAAAGGGACGTCATACGCAGATTGCAGGCATCTTACCGGGAACACTACCTAAACGGGATCTCAAGTCTGCCGTGACACCGTCCCATCATCCCTACATCAGCCACTGAGCTCCAAGCTTTGAGATCAATATGCCGAAGCCGAGAGTCCTGAATCCCAAGCCCCAAGAAGTTTCTTCCGCTTACCGGTGCTAAAGGGAGAATGGGGAGTGGATCCCTACAATCATTTCTATATGGCCATATAAACCTACAATGGTGCCTATATTCAGTCTCCCACTCCCCCTTGAAGCACCAGTAGGTCCTCGGCCGAGGCAATGAGGCTCCACTACCGGGTGGCACACCTGGGACTGAAGGAATTCCTTTGCAGGCGCAATGCTACATGAGCTACAGTCTAGACTCCTCACAGGGGGGAATATACCAGGGAGTATTGTAGGCAGTTATTCAGGTGGATACTAGGAGTTTAGCCAATGGCTCACATTCTTCAGAGCGCTTCTTCAAAGTTATGTACATCTTGAAGGGGTCCCGATGATGAGGACTCTGGTATTTTTGGAAATTTAAGCTGTGGAGTAGAGCAACAGTAGCCCCCGATAAGATAGTTGGATTTAGTGGTCGTAACGCTGAAGCACCAGCGCGGTAAACAGCAGGCATATCAACGCAGACAAGTACTCTAGATGACGTGAGTAATGGCATTTATGACCTAAAGATAAGTACGAAATGCTCAAGCTACGACCAGACAACAGCTTATAGTCCTTTCTTCCAGCTGCCTTGTGCATCGCACTGCGTCCGAGCATTCGCACCGGCTATGGTTGACCGTTGTAGCTTCTGCCACGCCCGCAAACCCAGAACAGACCCGGACCCATCCCTAAATTCTGGCTCATTCATCTGTCAGGCCCTGTGGACAAGCCTTCGCATACAAGAGCGTCCTCCGCAGTCATCTCGAGAAGGCGCTGAGTAGGGTAAGACCGTGTTCCAGAAACAAGGGGGTCCCGAAGTATGGGGATTCTGACCCTTATTGAAAACATGCAGCGTAGGCACATAGGGGTAGTGTTGAGAAGATGCCGTTCCGGTTTAGGTTGCAGGGGCTAGTGTTGAGGTTGACAAAGTTATGTGAGGTTTCTCAACCCGAGAATGTGACAGCAGTTCTCAGACCAAGCATTCTTTTCTCGGGGCAATTAACAGCGCTCACAGTCACATGTCAGATCTTGAAAAGGTTTTCTGGAGGAGGAATAGCATTCTATTGTATTATACTTTCGTTATCTACTGTATTCGATTGTATTAGATTATACATTATAGATATTTAGCAACGTTATGAGCGAAAGCTGCCCTTCAAGGTATCATTTGGGGCCTCTGCCAAGCTCATATCCATGAAGAGGCCCCTCATTTCCTATATGATGCGGCCCATATACCCTAAACCCTAAACCCTGCACCCTAAACCCTAAACCCTGCACATCCCTGCACCCTAAACCCCTAAACCCTGGTTCACGGTCTCAGCTTTGGAGTGATTGTCCCCCTTCAGGTGCACAAGATCACTCCGACGGAGGAGGATCTGCAACCCTGCAAGGACGAGCAGGACCCAGCCAAATTCCGGGTTTAGGGTTTAGGGGCCAAGATTAGCAAATTTCAAGGTTTCTGAGAGCAGTCCGGCCCTAGATTACAGAGAGATGATAGGGTATTGCGGATTCGATAGG